TTAAACTTTCTTGTGAGTGTATCTCACAGAGAAGAAGACAAAGACATGTAAGTTAACAAAACCAAGACAAACCAAAAGCCAAAAGAAGTAATCAAGATGACCATCTTCGGAATCCAACCATCATCATCATCTTTGCTACTCAAACACGCGACAAGCGTAATGATCATCGAGCTCAAGTAGTTTCCAAGTGTTGTAGTGAGAAGTGCCCAAGCATTACACAAGCTTCTCATTGAATCTGGTGATTGTTCATAGAAAAACTCGATCCGACCAACAAAGAAGAAAACTCCAGCAGTGCCCATAAGGAAGTACTGAGGGATTTGCAAGAAGATTGTCAATGGAACAGTGTCACCACTTTCTACAAGATCAAGATCTCGAGCTAACCGTAACCGGACCATCTCAACTATAGCTGCAACTGTCAAGCTTAAGACAGAGATGAATAGTCCAATTCCCATTCTTTGTAGATCAGTGAATCCTTTTGGTAAGCCTGTGAACCGTCTCGCTAAAGGAACGATGAGACGGTCATAGATTGGGACAGATATGAGGACACTTGCTGTGTCGAACATCCCGAGAGTAGCGGGAGGGATCACGAATGAGCCGATTGTTCGTTTCATGGACCGTCCTTGTTGAACAAACAGAGTGTAAATCTGTGAATGTAGGACTGAGAATATGATCCCTGAGGCCCAAATGGGAAACAAACGTAGTAAAATTTTAACTTCTTCGACTTGAGTCARYGTACAAAGCTTCCACGGATCGMGAAAAGATTCGGAATTCGCTTCTTCTTCTTTCGAGATAATCGCGGCTTTGTCAAGAAACCTGCATCATTGATACGAAAACTAGTTTATTTGACCAATGAACAATCAAATGCACAATGCAAAACAAGAAATTAGAGTGCAAAGATTTTCTTGAAACRGTSTGTATGGTCAATCTTRRGGTAATCCAATGTTTCGAACAAAAATGTCCGGTTTTCTTCAGGGATCTTGAGGTTCATTTTACGGTACGCGGCTACAAGAACTTGGCAAACTCTAGTAATGGGACTACCTCTCGGTTTCTGAAACCGATAAAGCGGAGTACCAAAGAAGAAACTCACAGTAGCAAGTCCCATGAACACGGTTGGTATCATGAATCCTAATTCCCAACCGCAATTCTCTTGAACCCACACTAGAAGAGTTGATGAAACAAATGCACCAACGTTAATGGAGAAGTAAAACCAATTAAAGAAAGAAGATTTTCTAACTCGTTCGCTTGGATCGGTCTGATCAAACTGATCAGCACCAAAGGAAGACACACATGGTTTGATTCCTCCAGTCCCAATGGCGATAAGGTAAAGTCCGGAAAATAAGACCGCTTGTTGAACCGTTGTTGCTGGTGGACATAGATTGCCAATGCATTCCGCTGGCTTTAAACCCGGAAATGAAGCTGAGAGTGTCAATGCAAGCATTCCCTAAAAACAAGATCAAAGTACAAAACATCAAGCATAATAACATAACCTTACGCTCTAAAACAGAGTTTTTTATCGACAAAATGCTTACGATGAAATAAACCGCGGAGAAACAAGCAATAGTCCAATATCTTTCCCAATAAGCATCAGCTATTAAAGCTCCAATAAGAGGAGTGATATAACAAGTTCCTTGCCATGTCATGACATGTCTAGCCGCGGAAACATTGGTCTCGTGCAATTCATTAGTGAAGTAAGTGATTAGATTCTTGGCAATGCCATAATAAGCCAAACGTTCACAGCATTCGTTTGCTGCATCCAAAGCATATCAAAGTGTTCTTCGAGGTTAAAAATCAGGACAAACAGGATCATAATAAGTATTAGAATTGAAATATGTAAAGTGTTTTTTTTGTTTTTAATTACCAAAAATGAATGGACAAGCTTTCCAGTTTCCAGTTTTCTCCTTCAATGGTGAGTTTCCATTAATGTCTACTGAGCCATCTTCTGCATATAATTTCAATTCCTCCTGAACAAATTTCAGACATGTATCTTCAGAGACATATCTCAAACATAATTTGTCTCAAACTTAAAAGTTTTTAACATTTCTTGAGCGTATTACTTTGAGTTCAAACAAAGATTTAGGCCAAGAATAGACTAAGAAACAATTGGAGTTCAAACAAAATTACAAAAAACAAATAATCAAGAGGTCGAACCTGTAAAAGAGATTGTTCAACTTCAAGGAGTGAGCTTTCTTCTTCATCAATGGAACCCATCTTTAAAGTTTCTCTAGAACATGAAAATCTTCAAGCAATCTGTGAATAAAGCTTTCTGGACGAAGATTCCATTAAAGATTATTCTCGCACCGACAAAGTTGTTGGTGTGAGTGGGGGTCACTCACAAGTCTCCACAGAACCACATTCTTTAGTATCCTTTTACAAAAATGTGAATATATAAACCTAATAAAACAAGGGAGATTTACTAAAATAGTCTTAATAAATGGTTTTTTTTTTGACAATTTTGATATTGTTTTTTTCATAATTACTTAAACAATCTTCAAAGATTTTTAAAACCGGTTTGTCCTTATTTTATTTGATAACAAAAAACGTATTTACAAAACTGTCATTAATGAGTTTTCCGCCAAAAGTAAATAAGTCTACCGCTCACGTGATGATAGATTTATTGAGTGGTTGGTAGATTTATTTAGTGGTTGGTAGATTTGTTTTTGAATGGTAGACTTATTATTGAGTGGTTGTTTTTATGCAGCGGTAGAGATGTTTTGGAGAGGTAGAGTTATTTCCATCAATGGTAGATTTGTTTTTGAATGGTAGACTWATTAGTCMAATGGTAGATTTATCTCGGTAGACTTATTGTTGAGTGGTAGATTTATTTCTATGTGATGGTAGATTAATTACTCGTGGTAGAWTTATTTGCCTTCATGGTAGATTTAAATTCGGGAATGGTAGACTTATTGATCATTAGCAGTGGTAGATTAATTACTCGTGGTAGATTTATTTGCCTTCATGGTAGATTTAAATTCGGGAATGGTAGACTTATTGATCGTTAGCGATGGTAGATTTGTTCAAGCATATAAACATATAATAAATAGAACAATGGGTCAGCTCACAACTCGAAACGGGCGAAGCCACTTCAAAAAAGGCCTCTTTATCCTGAAAGGAAAATGAGCTTTGCTCCTCTGGACGCTTGGCGCTCCTGTGGTTCACGAGAAGGAAAAAGGACTCATCCTTTGTTGCATATGGCACGAGATGATAAAGAGAGAGCTTCGTCGAGTTTTTCTCTCCTTTCCTATCAGCGTGATCTAGCAAACGAATTGACGGAGCTCTTGGCATTGCTTTGTTTTTCTCTCCTTTCCTATCAGCGAGTTCCGATCCTTTTGTTCGAAATTCTTTGTTTGTACCGAACCGCTTGGCACGTGAGTGATTTCGCCGTCATGTGATACATGTTTGCTAGATCTCTCTTCTAAAAAGCTATACAGGTTTGGTAGATTTATTTGCCTTCACGGTAGATATAAATTCGGGAATGGTAGACTTATTTATAGTGGCGGTAGATTAATATTATGTAGTAGACTTGATACTTTTCTTGGTAGATTTATTCAATGTTTTCAGGTCTTTACTACAACAAATCTACTAATCTTTGGTAAATCTACCATAATGATGGTAGACTTGTTTGGCTATATTGAGTTACGATAGACTTGTTTCTTAATATTGAATGACGATAGACTTGTTTAGATTCGGATAAGCGTAATGATAGATTTAAAAAATAAGCGGCATGGTAGACTTGTCTGTGGTAGGTGTAAACTTGTTGTGGTAGGTGGTAGACTTACTTGTAGTAATGGTAGATTTACAATATGTGGTAGACTTATTTTTATGCAGTGGTAGATTTATAATATGTGGTACACTTATTTTATAGAAGTGGTAGACTTATTCAAGAAGGGCAAAATCGTAATTTACTCTTCATCTTCTCCAACACGCCCAAGCTTAAGTCAAACCCTAACAATGGCGGCCAACTCATTTTTAGCTCGTTTTTGCTGTGTTTTAACTTGTTTTCAACTGTGTTTAGCCTAAAACTAGTAGATTTAACATCATATATCCTTTTTCTAATCAAAAATCAAACGATTTCGAGTTTTTTATTTAACCTTATGATTTTTAATCTGATTTTATCTAAATTCCGTGCTTCCTCAGCCTCCACACCTCTGCCGAGCTCGTCTCCGGTGCTTCCGCGGCCGCGTTCG